GGACGTGTAACATCCACAACCTTAGTATGACCACAGTAATACCAGCACAAAGCAATAAAAAAAAAACAAAAACAAAAACAAAAAACACAAAAACCAACAAACTCAAACCCATGATAATTACCATACCCATAAGACTGTTAGTAACTCTAGAAATATCATCAACATAGCCATATTTCCCTATTTAGATAATTCACTTCTCTGTTGTATACTGGGGCACTTAACTAAAGGTATCTCTGCTCATATACTAATCCTAGTTGAGGCACTGCTTCAGCTAAACTCATACTTCCTGACATTTTTAATATGCCTTATAAATGTTACTATGAGGTGCTTCAAACATATGGCTTTGTTCTATTTTTTGACTTTCTTTTAGATCACAATAATTTTCTACAAGGATAGGGGTTTTTTATTATTATTTACAAAGTTTCAAAACCCCCTAAATGTGTATTTTTTAATCTAAGAGAATCTAGAGGCTGGGAATGCAGCGTGTGTCCCATCTCCTTTCATTTCAAAAAAATGCAGGGAACACAAGTGTAGATGCCGGTAAAGTTATGCATGCTTTCTTTCCAAAACATAAATTACTGAACATGTTCAAAAAGCTTCAGTCTGTCTTACTTTTTCAGTAAGGCATTTTATCTCAAATAACTGAAGTTAACTCTGCTCTGATTTTCCAGCTGTCTCCTTTCAGTCTAGAATCTGAATTTCCAGTTAAAGAAAAACAATACCTCCCCCCCAAACATAAAACAGCAGGCCATACAAAGTAACACCTTTTTTAAAAAAAAAAAAAACGTGCTTCACAAAGGATAAACAAATCTGATCCACCTACTTCTTTATTCAAGCAGTTATGAATCAAAATGGACCTGTTAGCCAAATCTGCATTACTGGATTGTTAACAGTGGCCTGTTGTCTGGCTCTTAAAATTACAGCACTGAGGATGTGCTTTGCTCAAAAACAGGTTTTGGAGATAATACAGGGGATGTTTAGTGTTGCATAAGAAGTGTCATTACATTCTGAAGGCTTTCTTTTTTCTTAGAGATACATGTCTCCTGATAGTTTTTGGTTTCTTAGCTTTAGCAACAGACTTGGCAACAGCCGCAATGTGTTTACCCTAGAAACTTGGGAGCTAAACCAACTGTCAGAACACAGTATCAGTTGATAACTTCAAGTACCACTGTCTGTGTGCCAAAGAGCTTTTTACTATAGTCTTTTACCTCCAAACAAAACCACTAACAGAAGTTATGACTTAACTAAGCAGAAAAGTATACTCGTTAACAGAACTAACAACACTTTAAAGCTCTTAGTTGCCAGTTCTTTTTAAAGAGTTACTATATCCCTCTTATTGATTGCATATTTTAGAACTCAGAACAACTTAGCAAGTTTGTTTTTCTTTCAGAAGACTCTTACAGAACATCACTGCTCAACTAAAGTTTCCAGTTGTAATAATGGAGATGTATGATTTTTCCATATTTATTCTTTGTAGAAACAGGATGGGAGAAAGATAAGATGAAAGGGAAGCAAAATAAATTCCTTTTTGTGCATCAAAACACTAATTAGTAATTTAAATATCTTGTGACTTGATGCTTGACTATTAAATCTCTTTGATTGCATTTTTCCCTAGGGAAAGTTATTTAGTCAAGAGTAGAGCTCCTAACTCCAAATATGTGTTCATTTAAAATTACATTTATGCAAAACTCAAGGCAATGCTAAAATTCTATTTATAAAACAGTTATGAATGCCTGTTCACACTAGCTGAAGCCGCTCACCCCAGATTCTTATGGACACTTTGCCATCTGTTTGTAAAGAAACGGATAATAGAAAATCTCTATTATTTTTATAATTCTAATCCTCTAACTCAAGTCTTAAACTGCTACATGACACAAACAACTCCCAGCTTTCCCAAATTCTACATAGCATCATTTGGGAAACAGAATGTAGTAGGGTACGAAGCCTGTGAGGTTTGCTATAACTTTAGTCAACTACCATGTCTCTTTGTTGTCAACACCAATATAAAACTGAAGAGAAAGCTTTTTGGGGTGACAAGATGGAAGGAAGGAAATTTAGTAAGTTTGCAGAAATGAAAAGGGGGAAAAGTTTAACATCAACTATTTTATGTAAGATCCAAAAGTATTCAGGAAGACACCTGTGTCTACTGATGGCAAACAAATTTTTCTTGGGGGTGTGTGTTTGTACACATACATTTATAACAAAGGCATGAGCAAACTTTAACTGTGAAAAGTGCCTACTTACACCTACAGGTCTGAAGTTTAACCCTCAAAGCTAGATTTAGTAAACAAAATCATCACATTAACCACAGAAACAAGTCTTATAATTAATGTTGAAAAGTTTTCCCTTGCCCATGACTACTTTTCCTTAGCTAGGACATGCATATCTGGGTTTATGGAGGCTATATAGTTACCCCATGTAATTTTCTAGTCTGAGAACTTGTAACTGCCAGGCAAACAGTAAAAGTGAAAGATAGCAACCTGACATTTCCACATAAGTAAATGCATGCATGCACACTTATACAAATAAACTCAGCAAGCAAGCTTCATAACAAACATGAAATTTTAAATCCTTGTACAAGTGGAAATTAAGGGTGCTTGCTCTCATATTCAGAAACTACAGGTATCAATTCAGAATACACCTCCTGCTTCAAAAGAAACACGAGCATCTAAGCATAGCTATCTACTGCTTAAATACTACTACTAAATGTATGGTATGACAAAGTTTGGAGCACCTTCACAAAAATCACCACCACCAAAACAACCCCCCTAAAAAACAACATCACCACCCCCCATGTGACAATATCAATTTTAGTGGATGTTTAAAGCAACTTATGACTTGCACAGAACTTGGAAATATTATGTTAAAACGGTAGGCAATTACACTAGAAAAGCCTCCGAGAGTAGTTACTGAATGGAGACAAGAACATGCAAAGCATACTACTCTCTAGAAATCATTCAGCCTGAAAAAATGCCATAAAAATTCACAGAATCAGTTAAAGCAATAGTGCCACAAAGACTACATTTAAAGAAGATATGTGTATTTTAAGTTTTAGATAAATAACTCAGTTTGCTACACCTAGAAATACAAACGGAAACTTCACAGCCTGTCACCTTCAAAGGACAATGGAAGCCTGACAGCTAGCAAAACTCAAGATTAAGAAATTGTCATGTTTATTCTTATCATTAAATTTCAAGACCTGTTCACATAACTGTATTTCTACACCTCTCTATTTGCTGTGCTTAATGCACAAACAGAGAAAACTGATTATACTAAGAAAATAATTAAAGATCTGTAAACACTGAAAGCAGTAACACGCTTCAGCAGGGGTCTTCAGCAATAACAGGTATTGAATGTTATACCTATCTTGAAACGTGTTGAGTGAGTGCCTAAGTGATCCTGAAGTTTCATTCTTCACTGAGACAGCAAAACTGAGAGGGAAGTGATATGACTTTTGGCCTCCAAACTCGGATTTTCTTCCTTGGAGTGGTATTTCAGTAGTGACTTTTGTATTTCCACGTAGCAAACATCACAATTTTACTTACATCATGTCTGCCTCTGAAGGTACTTCTAGGGTTTTCAAATAAGACTAAACACAGAAACCCTTCCCCTCCCTATCTCTGGCAGAAAAAAAAAAAAAAAAAAAAAAAAAAAAAAAAAAAAAAAAAGCCCAAGCGACACTAGCGGCAGAACTAGGCTCCCGCCGGAGCGACTCAGCGGCAGCCCCGCGCTCCTGCCGGGTTGAGGCGCGCAGGGTAACTGCGGGGACGCCGGCAAAGGCAACAACGCCTCAGCAGCCACCGACGAGCCCCGCTCATCGCCCCAGTCCCCGCTTCCCGCCTACGGCCGCGCTCGGCCCCGCCGTTACTCCCCCCCCCCGCTCCAAAATCCGAGGGCGGCCCGGGCCGGCGCGCGCGCTCCCGCGGCAGCAGCCACAACTTCCGAGCGCCCCCCGCGGCGGCGGGCGGCTCAGCAGCGCCACCCGGTGGGACAGGGCGGGCGCGGCGCCGCCGGGGCCCGTCCGCTAGCCGCTGCCGCACAAGGCCCGGCCCGAGAACCCGGAGACAAAATGGCGGCCGCCCGCGGTGTCACGTGACCCCCTTTGTGCCTTTCGGGGCCCCGCCAAAGGGCCGCCAGCTCCCGCGGGGCGCGGGCCGGGGGCAGCGGGGAAGCGCCGGGGAACGACGCAGTAAGGGGCCGCCGGGATCGGCACCTTCCCTTCCCCAGGTCCGTCCCCCCTTCCCCCCCCCCGGCGGGCGGGGAGAGCGGGGAGAAGATGGCGGCCATTTTGTGCTTGCGCAGAGGCGAAGGTGGGGGCCCCGGGTGCGGGGGGGATGGAGGGACCCGGCCGGGGGGGGGGGGGGGGGGGGTCTCACGTACCGACTCCTCTTCCTTCTCCATGCCCGTGGGCATCTGCGGCACGGCCCGGTTAATGGAAGCATATTCGGCCAAGTCGGGCAGGTCCTCGCAGCGGAAGACGGGCAGCGGCTTGGACGCGTCCAGCGCCCGGGCCCGGAACGACAGTTTGCTCATGTTAGGCGGCGATGGCGGCTCCGGCTGGGGAGGGGGGGGCGACAGCAAGAGCGCTCCGAGCTGAGAGCCGGACCCCGCCGAGCGCTCTCATGGAGGGACCGGGGCTCCCCCGGCAGGGCGGGGCGCACTCCGACACGGGGCCCGGCGGCGCCGGCTGGCGCGGCTGGGCTGGGCGCTGGCTCCTCTCCTCCGCCGCTCCGGCTCCGCTCAATACGCCACGGCCAACATGGCGGACATTAAACCTCGACTGGCCGCCTCTTTCAGCCAACCCCAGCGCCACAGCCATTCCCACACTGCATCGCGCAGGGGCGCGGGCACAGCGCCGCCCGGGGGAGAGCGCGCGCAGCGCGGGCACGGGAGCGCGGGCTCGGGAGCGCGGGAGAGCTTGGAGCGGCCGGGCCGCGGGGATGGGGCGCCGCTGGCGGGGAGGGGGGGCGGCTGCTTCGCGTGGGGTGGGGGGACACGGACACGGCGGGGCTCTTTCCTCAGCGTGAGGCCAAGACCGCTCCGCTCGCGTGCCTCCGAGCTGCGCCGGGGAAGGCGCGCTCCTCTCCTGCGGGGTAAGGAGGTTCAGCTGGCCCCACGTCCCCGCCACACGCAGAGCCCCCGAGGTAAACGGAAGAGCGGCTTTCCCTGACAGCCTCCCGGCCACGGGAAACGCGGGCAGGAGAAGCGGGGGAGAGCGGGAAAACGCCGGCCCCGACCTTTCCGGTCACTCAGGGGCCGGACCGAAGGGCAGCCTGGCCAGAGCGCTGAACTTACCCCGACCCGGGCGGGCGGTGGCGCGGCCGCCCGGTGCCCTTCGAGCGCCGCCGCCCCCCGAGCAACGGCCGGAGCGGCGCCCGGCGGGGGGTTCCGGCTGTGGGGCGGCTGATGGGCCGCCCGGGGAGGGGGAAGCGCTCCTCGCATCAGGGCCTGGCCCGGGCTCGGCGGCGGGCGGCACCCCCGGCCCCCCCGGCGGCACCTGCCCGCCGGGCCCCGGCCCGCCCCGCATCGCGGAACTGAGTTCGCATTCGTGTTCAATGAAGGAGAAACACGGGCACCTCCCCGAAAAAGGCGAAGAACTCTAAGAACCGATCACAACAGCACTTCCACACTTATTTCTCGGAGGCTTTCAGAAACTTGGTCCAGTAGCGAAGTGCAGACACGTGAACTAGTTTAACCCTTGCTTGGATCGAAGTTATCAGTTACCCGCTCAAGCGAGCTCACTACAGGCAAAGGTTAGAACTAATTTGAGCATGTCTCATTAGGTAAGCTCATTTATATCTCAATGATTTGATGAAATTGATGCAGTATGCTATAAGCAGGGGATAGGAAATGTAGTCTCACATGGCTCGCTAATGTCTCCACAGGCTGCCCAGATCATCACACCATGGCCATAAAAATGTCAAAAAAACGTTCCTCCCAGGCCATCTCTAGAGCTATCTAGTTAAGGAACACTTCACATTCATATATGCTGCATTCATGCATTAGGTCATAATGTAATTCTAGTTCTATATTTATAATACAACATCGAGAAGGTGGATTTATTTTTCAGTACAAATTTTTGTTTGAAGTATCCCTCCACTTCTAAAGCAAAATATTGTCATTTTGTGCAGTTATATGTGATTCAGTAGACAGAACTGGTTCTTTATCATGTATTACTCCTGGGAAATAGAACTTTCAGAAACAGGACATACATGTAACAAAAGCATTAGAAAAGCCTTGGTTTGCTTAGTAATTTTAAAAATCTGATATCTCTATAATAGAAGCAAAAGCCATTTTTTTTAATTGCATCACTTCTTTAATAATAATACCACCATCCTCAACCTTAAACAACTCATAGCCACTAGATGAAATATTGCTAAATGCAGCTGTTAACTGCAGTTTCAAGCCAACTATTTTCATGTCTGACTTCCCCCTAGGTATCCTAAACTGTTTCACCTGCAAGTAACTTAGCTTCACAACCTCTCTGGGACAGGAAATTTTGTCTATTGTGAATGGGTAATGCAGTGGAAGGCAGCTTGTAGGGGAGAACGAAGCTTTTTTTTAAGGAAGGGTGGGTGTTTTTTTTTGTTTGTGGGGGTTTTCTGTTGAGTTTGGATTTTTTGTTTTTTGTTTTTTGTTTTTTTTTTTAAAAAAGGTAAGTGACATGAACTAAGGAATGTCATTGGATTCATTTGTATTTTGGTAGTTACATCAGAACCACATGTTAAAAAATGCATATTGCTTTTTACACTAGTTCTAAAGCTTAAAGCACACATTAGCTAGAAATACTGATCCTATAATAAATTGCACATAAAACATCTACAGAGTTTTCCACAAATACTGAATAATTTAGTTTGTCCAACTAGCAGACAGATAAGGTGATGACTAGAAAAAAAGGGCAATACACTATCATATATTGGCTTTGACCTAAAACACTAAATGAAAATGAAATACCTGGCAGCTAAGCAAAAAATAAGGCCATTAAATGTAATTCTTCACTTCCACTGATGAAGGAAAAACAATACATAATGAAAAGCAAAGTATAGAAAATATCCTGAACTATAAAGGAAAAACATTCAAGTTTAAATTTATCCTTAATTGACCTTTGCATTTTTAACCCTACCACAGGCTTGAGAAAAGTGCAGAACAAGCAGAATGGACAATAACATTTGGATACAAACAGGATAGCATGCATTAAGAGTTTTGGCCTGAAACCCTTGGTCTCATCAGCTTTTAATGTTTTGCCAATAAAATAGATTGTGTTTAACTATTTTGTAGCAGAAGTTGATTAGTCCTAGATTAATTTGCTGGTAAGATTAAATATGTGATATTTGAGAACAGTGTGACATCAGCCCTAATTTCTGTTCTGTAAATACGGTAACAGCAAAAAGTATAGGACAGACTGATGTTTCTATTTTACCTTCCTTTTTAGTTGCGACATGCAGATATAATTTAAGTTTTGCCATTTTGTAGCATTCACCAGAATACTCACATTTGTAGACAGTGCTGCACTATGACAGTAATTAATGTAAAATTGGTATGTTTTTCATAATGACCAAAATACGCTTTGCCAGCTCTCAGTAAAAGATCACTAACTATAAACTGATTTGTTGTAACAAAATGCTGTGTGTCCATTTTAAAAACTGAAATTTAATGAACTGTAAAGGTAACTGAAATGTAATAAATACGGCATTTTGAAATGCTGCTTTTTTTTTTTTTTTTGTATAAACCACTGAAGTTACATCTTTAATATTGGAGGCATTTCTTTAAAGCCCTATCTTTTTATGATCTCAAAATACTTAATTAAAAGAACAAGCCTTACTAAAATGAGTATATCAGCTATGTAGGTGGTAAATATAACTGTTCCAATATATATTCAAAAGTACTAAATTCAGACTGAGCATTAAGGGGGAAGATCCAACAACTTGATCCATAAAGCTACAGAAAAGGATCTCTTGTGATACCATCTAACTCAGGATTGTAAAGCCCAAAAACTTAACTTGCTATTTTGGTTTGAAAGTCCTATGTACCATTTGACAAGTTTTTACAGATTTTAGTATTTATTTAGTTTTGTGGCTTAAAACCCCTCTGGGTTAAATAAAGACTTTCAGTAGTTTCTTTAAGCATGAATTGTAGTGTTCTTAATGTGGGTTTAATATTGTCTCCCATTCTAACAGCAATCATTGGTATTAGTCACAAAATAGCTGTGCATAAAGGGCATATCAGTGTGTCATTTTTAGTGCTTTCTGTAATCAAGCAACTCTGTATTTTAAGTATATAAAATTCTACGAGTCAGTTGTTCAACTTCTAAAAAACCCTTTATTATATATTCTTGTTCTCATTTTTGTATGTTAATTTATCTTCAATTAAGTACATTATATAAAGGCAAGTCTAAAATAAAGGAGTTAAAGGTTGAAATAAAGTACCCTATAAAAGCTGATCTTGCACAAATAGGTTTTCTATTATTCTACTTTTAAGGAAAACCTGTTTGAGAAAATAAAATTAACAGTGAACATTTGATGTTGTTCTACTCTCCAGTCTTACAGAAAGAGAGGGTTTTGTTTGGGTTTGGGTTTTTTTAGGCTTGCTTCCTTCCTTCCCCTCCCCTCTCAAATAATGATCCACTGAAATCCAGAGTCAAACTAGAATGAGAAACCAAGTACATTTGACTCCTTACATACATTCATTTTCTCTCGTACCTACTTAAAACTGTAGCAGACAACAATTAAAAGTAGAACATGTTAAAGGTAAAACATGTTTCTCATTTCCCAGCCATTTAAAAATAGTTCTTGCATACAGAAGATAATACAGTATTTTCATAAACTGAGGCATATGCCAAGTACACTAAACTATACACTAGCTTGCATATCTCTAAATATTTGCAATTTTTCATTTTTCTCACCCTGGGACTACTTTCTACCCTGCTTCTACTATTGTAAATCTTACCAACTCATTCATTTATATAGCAATTATGTTGACCTGGGGTTTTTTTTGCCTTTTATTTCCATAAATGCTGACTACTTTGAACTGATAAAAAGTATCACTTGACTTTTTTTTTCCTCCACTTTCAATAACCAAGTATTAAGAAATGACATATTAAGTTATCATACTTGGGTTTCTTTCCAGAATGACCTATTCTTAGGGGTATTTGGAAAGATATAGGTGGCTCTTTCATTATGTAGGAAGCTATTATGGATTCTGTATGTATATTCCTGTTTTACGTTTGCTATTGATGCTTCCATTAAAATTTGCTTCTCAGCTATCTTTTTTTAGTTTATGTTTCATAACATTACAGATAGCTATTTTCTTTTAGATCATCTCAGTGAGCTATCTGGAGTGTGGATTAATATGAGATAAATGTAGACAAATCTGACACTAGAGGGTTTTCATTATTTTATAAAATGTCACATTACAGTACTAACTAGCACATAGAAATTATCTTAACAGCATGAAGATTTCAACCATAAACAAACTGATGTAACTCATAGTGAATCTCTCCTTGTTTGCTGGTGTCAACTGTCTGTTTTAAAAGAGATAATGGAACTGTCAAACATATTTAAAGAGTTCAGAAACCATGGTACAAATCCAGTATAGAACGCATTTGTGATAACTTCTGCCATTTTTTTTTTTAAAGATAATTTAGTGTTTCATAGCTTTGGCATCTCAAAGAATGGTATAATATATTCACTTAGTTATTTTAGGTTTTCATGGTTGAGATGCAATAGGTACAAAGCTTATTTGAAGTTCTTTCTGAGTCATAATTTGAAGTAGTGACCAAGCGAATCTCTTCCTCAATTCTTGTCTCAATGAGGGAAAAGTAAGTTGTCTTTATATATATAAATATATATGAATTTTTGTTTCTGTAGTGAACAGGTAGGTACATGTACTGCATGGCCAGATCTTTTAGTTACCTTTTATTTTTTGTAAATGTTTCTGATTTGCACTGCAGAATACCAAATAGAGATGAGAAAGGACAGTACTGGAATTAATCTCCTATTTCTGTTACCATTCAACAGAATGTAAGTAAACATAATCCTTTAAATTCCAAAGCTGCCTGAAAAAAATTAAATTTGGAGAGGTAACAGCCTGGTAAAATAAGAAACTTGGAAGTGTTAAAACATGAGCATGTGATTCTTCCACTATAAAACTAATGATTGCTATTCTCATGGGCAATATCTTACTAGAAATGACCACTAAAGCAGCATTACGAAACTAGTTTTATCCTTAACATTCAGAACAGAACCAGAGAAGTTGGCTTTCTTGCAACAAAATCTGAAGTTTTTACACTTTGTTGCAAATGGCCATACTTAAAACTGGATAAAGAATTACCATGGTTTCACATTTTAAGACTACCTGCAGGAAATCACAAGACAACATTATTTTGCATTAGGTAATGCTAACCAAAACAACATAGTCTGAAATGAACAATAGTTCTGTCATTTCTCAGGCTCTCTGCATGAGACTATCACCTTGTAACGTGCTGCTTTTGTTAACAATATCGGTTTAAGATACTGCAGTCCCATTTTCTGCTCCTCCATTCATTCTTTCCTGTAGCTGCACTGTCCCTTCATTTGTATCAGAACCATTGCTTATGAAGCCTCACTGGGTATCAAGTGTGAATCCAATCAACTACTTTAACAACTCAGCAAAAAACCCAACTACATAAATTGGAAGAAAACCACTTGAAAAGATCCATGCTAGAAGTTATATAGCAACAGTTTACTGCCACTGCCCTCTTCCTTCACATGATCCAGTTTGTGAAGGCTACAGAATACAGTAGTCTGGAATGATAAAACCTGTGCAAAAAGGATTTGAAAATTATAAAACTGTATATACAATTGAATACACATTTAAAACAGTAATATACTGACATATCCTATATTTGAAAACCTTTGTCTACAACACTAGTGTCTGAACTAGTCTATAAATGAAAGAGTTCTTATTTTATTTCAGACTGATTACATATCACTGTGTACAGGTGGGGTTTTCTAGTTTCAAGTACACTTATAACAGGACAACTTTTCTTCACATGGTGAAAGTAGTTAGATGCCAGTGTGATGCTGCAATCTTATTTGGGGAATGTGTTGTCAGCCATATGTATTCAAAAGTAGAGTCCAGCATTCTCAAAGCAACTGAGCTGAACCTGAAGGGCGTTATGCCACTGAGCAATATCAAAAAGAGGAGGAAAAGTCACTAGCCAACAATTCTCTTACTGAGAAGAAACAAAGGTAAGAGAGGAGCAGCAAAAGCTATTACCACATTTCTCCTTTGCAACTATAGCTAAATGCTTAAAGACAGTAGAGGCAGTTGCCTCCATAGGAGGAGCAGAAGGACTGCAAGAGGAACTAATGATTTAGGATTGTTATTTTACAGACTCAACATTTGTCCCAATATCACCTGTACAGATAGAGCCCATTTTAACATTCTCTTGCCTTAAAATATATCCGAGAGCACAAAGGGTTTTTGAGAGATATTTAGTACTGTCAAAAAGGAATTAGCTTCCTTTATATATGGCTTGTTCAGGAGACCGTTTTTATGTGTGTAGGGAAAACTCATAATAGTGGAAGCAGTTATTCTGTTAGATATAGCAGTGGTAAAAAAGACAAAAATTATGCCAAGACTCTTCACATTGAAAGATAGCTTTCCTTGTTTAAGTTTTAATGGATTCGGAATAATTTTCCTAAAAGACAAGTGATTTATGAGTTTCTCCTTTACTCTTTCATTCAATAATATGTATGCCCTCCAAAATATTGTGCTAGATGCACCTTGAATTTTTGCTTTAGTCATCTTCTCCAGCAACTCAGTCCTAAAAGATTTTGTGAAATGAATAGTAAGACAAACAAAGTTTGAACATGTAACCCTTTTGCAAAGTTTTAAAAAAACGGGGGAACAAAAAAAAAAAAGCCAAAATTTCTGACTTTATGCTCCAGGGTATTTAAAAAACTTTAGATAAAACTTTTTTTATTCTGAAATGCAAAATAATAATAATATTAAAAGCAAAATTTATTCTTTTTTTCATGCTAATTATTCTAAAACATTACGGTAAATGAAACCTGAGCTGGGCAGACAGGCTAGCCAACTCTTACTTAGGCATGGACTTCTGCAAACATCAGTTTATAACACATGAATAGTTTCTGAGTCAAGTGAAGTTAATCATATGATTACGTATTGCCAATAGAAGAGGTAGCAGAAGGGCAAAAATCTTATCCTTTTCTTGCTGGAAATGCAGAGGATTGGGCTTGCAAAAAAAACCAAAACCAAAACCACAACAAAAACAAAACTTAAAAAAACAAACCACAGCACCAAAAACAAACAAACAAACAAACAAACAAACAAAGCAAACAAACCCAACCAACCAACAAACCAAATCAAGCCTCACTTTCTCTTGCCAACACAATTGCTAATTCATTAATCAAAGAGCTAAATATAATTACTTTGATATTCTGCATAGGATAATCTGAAAGGCTAAAAAATGTAAAACAGAAGTAGATAATTTATGGTTGCACATAGGTCTGATGGTAGGCATAGCAATGTATGCTGTCCTGAACCCTTCAACTGGCAATTAAAAAAAAAAAACAAAACAAAAACAAACAAACCACTAAAAAACCCACCACAAACACATACACTACTGCATAAACCTTAGGCTGTCACAGTGTTCACACCCAGGATAAGGGAGTATACTGGGGACAAGTTACGTTTCTTTGCATAACTTTAGAAAGTTTACTACTACACTGTTAATTGCATGGCTCTAAGTATGTGCATATATATAGCAAATTCAATCCAGGTAAACTCATATGCTCTAACTTTTTAAATTTTGTTTTTAAATACATCATTTATTTTAATACCTTACACTCCCAAGATAGGATTTTTATCTTGCAAGTCAATCTATGAAAACTGTTTCAAGTGCTTCAGAGCTTCTGGATATTATGATCACCTATTTGCAGAACTTCAGAATTAAATTGCTGATGTTAAATAATGTGGAGTTATACTCTCTTATCTGCTCTATAATGTCAAATGCTTTAAATTGTGGTTCCTGAATCAGAATTAAAGTAGTATATCTGCTTGCTGCAGACAATTCAGAAAAAACATTGATTTATACCTAGAGAGGAATTAGCTAAGCTTCAGAAGTCTTTTGGTGCAGAAAAGTATACTTGCATCTTGGAATGAAGAGACGTTTCCTATTACATATGTTTAGATTGGAGTGGAGGTGGTCAAGCTTTTTTTTTTTGTTGTTTTGGTTTTTTTGTTTGTTTTGGTTTTTTTTATGTTACTGGCATCTCCCTACAGTATGCATACCTACCTCATGAGTTCCAGATCACATTAATAGGATTGTGTTATTAAGTACCTAATACAGGCTATAGCATCTTTACTTAAGATAAATACATGTCTCTAAAGAAAGGAAAAAACCACAAATAACTCAGCTTTTTGATTTCAAAAGTC